GACTCGGCCCGGGCTGACTCGGCCCGGGCTGACTCGGCCCGGGCTGACTCGGCCCGGGCTGACTCGGCCCGGGCTGACTCGGCGGATTTAAAATAATGTATTATTAACGCGAAAGAGGGTTGAGCCCGGTTCACTTTTCTCCTGCGCATGCGGAATAAGGTTGCGATTTGAAAAATACGCCAATTTTTTCTGCATCTTTTCGAACAGCTTGTGCTTTAAGGTTACGGTAAGCATTTTCTGGACGAAACCATTTTTCTATTTCTCCACTTTCTAGAGCCGAACTTTCAAGGCACACAATTGTTTGAAATTAGCATAAATTAACATGTAAACGGAAGTTTCCATAACTTCTTTATCAAAACTACTAGTTGAGGTCTGAAAATCTCTTGACATGTTGAGCTGATTATCGCTTCTTTGCGGTTGTGGTCGCATGTCTCATTTACAATATCGCATGGCACATCCATGTATCCAATGTATGACTGTGTTTATTTAAACAGGCTTATTGATCTTAAAGCTTCAAGTGACTTAACCCGGATTTCACTGTGGTTTACGAGTGTACCTTGCAAGTGCGATCAGTAAAATTCGGTTTTCTACGGACTTACAACTCCTCGACATACAGGTACGAAAAAGCTATTTTGTACCCAAGGAACTAATCGAATGGCTCAAAAATTTGCACACGGCCAGGACAGATGTCGGGTAAGCAAAGTATGTCTTAAATTTGTGTAGCTGGGAATCAGTTTACTGCAAACCATGTCATACATCAATTAAACTAGGAATTATACTTGAAAAATTAACGAATTAATAAACCACGTTTCGAGCATAGCCCGTTATCAAATTAGTATATTTATGTCATAATTCATTCTTAAAATCTCATGCAATGTAAAACGGAATGGGGAATTATATTGCAAGCAAAACGGAGGCTTGTCCCCAGGGATGGCGCCAGAAAAGAAATTTTGGGGGGGGGGCTGTAATGTCAGAGTGCCGACAGTGAGTGAACCACCAACAAAGATCTAATATAACACCTATTCCGCTGTGGTCCAGTTCAAAAAATTTCCAAAACTATTCCAGTTCAAAAAAATCAAACAATGAGAAAAAAATTAAAAAAAATCACGAAGTGGAAGTTATGAAAGTGCCGACGTTTCTTAAAATTTTTCAAAAATTGAAGTGTCGACGGATGGGCCCAATAAATTGAAGTGCCGATGGAGGGTCTCAATGAATTGAAGTGCCGACGGAGGGGCTCAGTGAATTGAAGTGCCGACGGCTCAAAGCACCCCCGGTGGCGCCATCCCTGTTGCCCCCGGAAAAATATTTTAAATCACGCTATTTGAAAATTCAGAAAATGCCGAAATTTAATGTCTTTCTTTTCACAATTTGCTTTGGGAAGAAGATTCTCAGTCAAATCGACTGTATTTGAAACTCTGAAAGGGTGGCAAAATATGTAGGTGTCAACAGATGTAAAGTGGTTTGTAGATTTTGAAAGTTAGACTAAAGCCCAAAGCCTAAAGCCATTTTTCAGTTAGCGCGACACTATCTTCTAAGATTTTACAGAGAAAGCAACTTCTCTTTCCAGCGTAGGAGACGAGATTATTTTCGATTAAACACGCAATCTCTGAAATTTAGCAAAATAATGACTTCATTCTCATCAAAGGGTAATTTATGAATTTTTGAAAGTTTTTAAGCGTTTATTTGAAAAAATAAAGAGGGGCTTTAGCTCATACTAGCCTAGTATGATGCCCGTACAATTATGCGTAATTATGGTCAGGCATTGAACATGTGCTTATAAAACTATTGACTTTTCAGAAAGATATCTGACAACATCATTTGGAAAAATGGGTTCTAAGGGATCCTCATGCCACCCGTTTGTGCAAATTGATAATTTTGCAGATTGATGGGCTCCTTCTGTATGAGAAAGACATGGTAAAAAGGACAAAGAATCTCTTAAGAAAAAACACAGATATTATTCAGTAACGAAAATTATTTAAATTTGAGGAAAGATTGGAATACTTTAATAAGTTATTTTCAAAACATACGGCTTAATCTTCCATTAATACTTGTAGGAATTTCATATTTTCCAGGCTCTTTCTGTAGAATTCCAGGTTTGAGGAGTTTCTGCCAAGTTCCAAACAAGGAGAAGGTGGGTACGGCTGGTCATTAGTCAGGGGATAAAAAGCCCCGTTTGTCACTAGACACGACTTTTGAATAAAGTTGGACAGCATTTCTTTTTAGTACAAAACGCCGGAGTTTTAGCGCTTCAAATACAAAATAAAGATGCCTTTGAGTTCTTAGTTGAAATGCAAAATTAAATAGCCTGTCACAGGACGTTTAAAACATTTTATCCTTTATCATTCCTAGAGCAGACTTAATTATTAAGGGATATTTGATGGCCCAAGGAAAGAGCCAGGGCCTATTTTGAGAAATGTTCAATACTGCACATTCTTAAGAAATTTTTTCATAGAAGTTTTTTTGTTGCAATCAGTGCTAACCCCTGCAAACCCCAGGTATCTTAGCCATGCAAGTGTAGCGAGGAAATTGCACGAATTTAGTTGTTGAAAATATTAGAGGACCTTTAACCCGCGTTCTTTGTTCTGTTATTCAAACTTGTTATGTTGTTTATAGACAATACCACCAAATCTCATAATCAGGTCAAAGTCATATCGCATATCGTATTTCAGTTAAGTTGTAAAATGTTACGTTTGAATTCGCATGAAAGTCGCTTGATGCTTTTACCAAATTAGTTTCTATCGCGAAAGAACTCGCACGGTTGGGGAATTTCCAACATAGTTAAGTTAAGTGAGCTTCTGCTAGATGCCCAGCCCAGAGCATCATAGGGCAACTGATAAATTATTACTGGATGTTTTATCTTTGACAAGATCAAAATACGAAATTTACAGCAATGCTGACATTTACGGGAAATGTTTTGTTTTTGGTTCTGGGAATTTCGATTTGTTTTAAGTTTTGATAAGAGAGTCTTTCCGGAGGTTATACGATAATTACAATACATCAACTCTATATCGAACTGACGAGGAAAATTCACATTTTGTGAACAAAGCAGGAATCTTGGATGGCCGCAAAAAGATATTTTCACAAATCCCAAAATTCAATACTGCACATTTTGTGAGAACCCTCTCAGCTATTCGATATCAGGCATTTGAAATAATTCGCATTAGTCATAAGTGAAGAAACTAATGTGCGTTAGTCATAAGTCTTCGTTAATCATAGGTCTTGGTCTTGAAGATATCGGAAAACTGTTCAATAAATTATACAATTACGAGGAATTGGAAAAAAACTGGTGGGAATTTGAATCATCATTGATACAGTTTTTCTCAATTTAATGGTGAAGCTAACTAAGCTGTAAAATCTATAACGCCGAAACCATAACCACGGCGAACTTTCTATGCAAACGTTCTTTCGAGAGGTCAATTGATGGTTGTAATCAATTTTTGTTCTGTGCGAATATTAATAATTGCCTTTCGAAAGTTTTCAAGTTTTTTGAAAAATATAACTCAAAGCAAGGGCGTACCGGGAAATTTCGAAATGTCCTGGTAGGCCGAGAAGCGATGGGTGGAAACAAATTGGATAATTTTTCGCAGGTAGAAAGGCCAAAATTTGGTGTATCCTACAAGGCAGTGAGAGATCGCTTCCAGAATATTTTCAGCAACAAAATGTCCAAGAATAGAAGAGAAGAGAGTGCAAATGGAATTAACCCTGAGCACACAGAAAAACATGTTCTCCTTGCAAGATAAGAGAGCTTTTTGATGCATCAATTGCTGATCAGCAAGCAGCATCCCAGCAAGTTAAAGAAAAACAAACAACAGAAATGGAAAAAGCTGAAGAAATGAGAAGGTAATAAGTAGAAACAATAGGAGAATACAGGAAGAGAAAAGAAAGGGGAGGTAAACAATGTAAGTGAAAAGAAACGTAACGTTCGGCAGAAAACCTTTCAAAAATATTCAAGAAAGAATCAGAGTTGACAGTTGACTCAATCCGGGCTGACTCACAATTGCGTTTTGAAACCAAGTTTAGACTCGCTTTCCGTCTAGAATACAAATTGAAGAGCGTTTACCCTGGGTGAACTCAACACAGGTTGAACCCGGGTAGCTTTTGGTAGTGTAAACCGGGCTTTCGATTGGAAAAATTTCACTTGCTTTCATTATGAAGCGTCGGACGAAGAGTTCAAGTCAATTTTGTTTCAATTTTCCGAGGTAGGTTGAACATTATTTCTTCCTTGTATTCATATTGTAGTTTTCTAAATGTATTATCAGTCTTTCTATCAGTTCAATTTTGCGTGGACACGACATGCTCAATGCATTCTTAACAACAGGTTACACCATTCAATCTTTCACTCTCTTGGGTACAGTTAAGTTTTAGCTGTAAGTCAGCGCTGTGAGTTATTTTTCTCCGATCGCATTAGCTGCCTAAAAAATTCACCATATCTTTGAAACGCGCTGAGATTTGTAAGAGTTGTTAGTTTCTATAGACTAAACACTGAAGCAACGAACGTCGTAGAGAAATCAGTTTTGTTGAAGTTTTTTTTCAGGGGGGCTTATCATTTCAGACAATTTTAGATTAGGGCCTATTCGAGAGGGCTTAAGCTAGGGGGCACTTATATAAGCAATCTCCAAGTTTCAATACAAATAGCTCGTTTTGTACTTTTTCATTATATACAAGCTTATTCAATTTGCAATTTTACTTTATATATCTTTCTAAAATATCACATTCTAGGCAATGGGGACCAGACTGGAATTCCACCTTTCGTTTAAACTGTTTGGTACATTTTTGCATAAGCAAAATTGTCATGAGTTTGTGTACCCGGAACAAAATGAATCAAGCTCCCGAAAAGATAGAGCCATTTTCCAAATCTTTTGTAATGGTGTTAAATTTTCCCTTGGCCCTTCCCCTTTCCAACCTGCATCGGAGCCCATGCTTGCTATTAAAAGAGAGTAGACAGAGGTTCTTGTCTTTTTATTACATCCGTTTCTTGAATAAAAAAATACTATACATAAAGAAAATTCAGTGTCGTGATTTTAGCAGAAATGCATGAGATGGTAAAAATGCGAGAAAGTTTCATTTTCCATGAGACTTCCCAAGGGCAAATTATTCTATGATTACTAAATTGATTTGCCCTCTTTTTTTCATTTGTTAATTTTTCATTGATTCAGTAACAAAACAGCAGCAAATATTTCACACCAATGAAATAAAAACAGAATATATTTGCCCAACAAAGTGCAAAAAAATAACCTAAAATTTTGTTGGCATTTAAGAACGAAAACTGATAGCTGAAAGTGCGTTGTGAAAAATATACACATTTTAAGAGAGGTATTTTTCCTAGATACCTGTAAGCCCAAAACATTTAAAGAGCTTACTAAAGAGAGAATCCCTAATTAACTTTTCAATTTTGAATATCTTCATCACTGCAAACAATCGAGAATTAGGAAATCGGCTCCATTCATTTGCGTAAAACTCGCATAAAAGAGAGTCTCACTTGACTAAAAGCGACCCAGCTTTTAGAACTTGGTCCGGTCGTTCCCGGAGTGAAAATAGGATTCACTGCTTATCGGTTGGAGGTGTTAATTTGCATTATCCGTACAAGCATGAGCGAAGAGAAAACCCTGAAAGAAAAACAATGACAAACAACTTTTTATTAATTTTCTATATATTCTGTCGTATTTCCATAAAATCCTCCCAATTTCTTAAAAAATCTTTCCAAATTCCTTCTAATTTGTAAATCCTTCTTTTATCCTTCCAATCAACAAAAAATCCCGAAAAAAGGATAAAACCTGCCAAGTTGCCCGAAAACATGAAAGCGAGGTTGTTAGTAGGAAAACAATAATTGAGTTGGTTGGTTAATGCTGCATCGAAAATGGACGGAGTTGTAAAGGAGAACTTTGCTGGCATTGAAGGAACATACCTCCTTTCTTTAACGTTATACTTGACGCGATTTGTTGGATTCGTTGAAAACAGTTTAAAGGTACGTTTTTTAGAGTGTGATGTGATTCAATCAAGTTTTTGCGGAGGGGCCATGGTACCACCATCATCTTGAAGTTCGCCACTCTGCATGCACTTAAGATTTTTGAACGCATCACCCAGCATAAATACACTTTTTGGTTTCTTTCATCAAGTTTTAATTTAAGATAAAATTCATTCTACATGAAGATGGCTTTACATCATATCAATCAATTCTGTATTAAGGTCAAGGACAATTGGAATGCTCTTGATGCAAAATTTGTCGAGCACCTGCAACTGAAGTTTTGATTCAGTGCACCTGAGATTTTGTCGGAATATCGATACCATCAACTTCCAAGTTGTGCATCAATTTTGATATTAACATAAATTTTGAGATCAGTGCCAGTGGTGATAATCCACACCACACCACAGACCACACCCTCTCCTTCGTTAGGTAAGGCTGAAAAGAGGTCAAACCCCAATTAAAAACCAAGCTGAATGACAATCTTTCCCGTTCATATTAATCGCAAAGAGTCACTCAAATCAAAACTGCAATAAACCCATTTTGCAAAGGAAGTAATTGCAATTATTAACAAATTTAATTTTCAGGCCATCTTGTTTTTCGCTCTCGAGGCAGCTGGAGGTCATGTCGTGCTCAATTGTTTCCGTTGTTCTTACAATCAGTTTTATTGCATGCCGCACGAGATTTGATTTATTTAGCAGGCACCGCACCGTGCACCAGCCCAAAAATGGGGGGGGGGCTGGGGGCTAAAACGGAGGCTGGGGGCTTGCCAATGTGGCTGCACATGACTTGTTATCTAGGATTTGATTTGGGAAACTTACAACGAAAAGGCTCTTGTTTATTTATTAACTTTTTAAAGTTTTTAATAATTTTTACATTTAATTCAAAAGTTTTTACATTTAACTTTTGGCCAGTTTGCAATGTGTTGCTGATTTTGACAAGGTCTTGTCAATTGCCCCTTACCTCTCGTGCCAATGTGCAAAAATCATCCAAAAATTCCTGATGCACCAACACTATTAACTTGTCCAGTTTATAATTCAACAGATCTAGTTTTAAGGTGCACTGTCACACTGGGGGGTTGGTCTTAGAAAACCTGAAATTGCCTGATCTAAACATTGTTAAAGGAACTGATGATGATAGTGTTGTCTTCTACACCTTGAAACCCTGTTTAAAAATGACATAGTCTGTAGTGCACAACTCTGATGTGAAAATTACCATTCTCTGTACCTTTTTGGATTTGCAACTATCATGCTACCATACTCTAGCCATAGATTTAGGGAACACATGCCTCCTGTCCCCCCTGGTTCTTATACTCTTGTCCCTCGTATACCTTTGGCTATACCATTAAAAATATGGCATAACTGGGTATGGGTCTGAATGTGTGATAGATGCATAAAATGTATTTGAAAATAATAGAGAGGAAGTGATTTCAAAGAATATTTTTGAGTTGATGAATTTCCATGTATGATAGCATTTTCATGTCTTTTCAGAACTGTATTATGTAGTTCAGCACTTGATTATTATTTGGGGAAGAAGAGCAGCCATCCAGTTTTCCTTGTTACCATAATTAATTGAATTAATTTCAAAGTAAAGTTTTAGCAAAGATTATTGAAACAGTTGGTAAACATAGATGATGTGGCAGCAATAAACAAGTCACAATGATCATAATATATCAGATCTGCGTTTTTGCAGCCTATAGCAGCTGGTTGGTAGCAGCATTTAAAAGTATTTACTTATCATGGATTTTTCAGGTACCATTTTATCATGTCATTTTGGAAACAATTTTAATTTTGTGGATCATCAGACTTTTGACAACAAAGAGTTACACTCCGAGAGAACAAAGATTGAAGCTCAGCAAAGAGGTGACTGCCAGGGTTCTGTCTGTTTATTTGTATAGTGATGCTTTGAACACTTGAGATTGATACTTATTTGAAGTGATAGAGATTTTGAGAAGAAGTCATTAATTTCTCCTTATAAGTGGGACTGATCTACCAATGATATGTACACTGGGCTGTTGGTATGCTATTCAGTTGTGATGTTTTAACATTTGGCTTATTACTAAGTGTGGCTTGACAAGCACAAACTTCAAATATTTGATTGGCTGATTTGGTAGATACACCTCTGATCAATCAGTTAATGGAAAACTGCACCACAAATAGCTGCTTTTGATCTTTTTAATGTATTTGATTTTTTATTATTTTAAGTGCCATCTAATGGTCTTTGGGAATAAGAGTAATGATATTTTTTCCAATATTGGAAGTGTCAGGATAAAATAGAGCACAGAAGAAAAGCTGCTTAGAGTGATTCTGGGCAAAACATTATGCTTTAGACAGCAATTAAGGTCCATTTGCAAAAATGCTGGGCAAAAGCTACATGCTTTCTTGAGAATCTCTTACTTTCTTGATACTGAAAAAACTAAAGAGAATAATGAAAGAATTTATCTTTTCCAAGTTCAACTACTCTCCTCTTGTTTGGATGTTCTGCAATAGAACACTTAATAGTAAAGTATTCACAAACAGACATTGCGGATAACTTACAAAGATATGAAATCAGATTTTGACACAATGTTACTCAGAGACAATGCGATCCCAATCCACATCAGGAATTTGCAACTGTTGATGATTGAAATTTATAAAACAAAATGGGATCTCAAACCTACTTTCATGAAGGATATCTTTTTTTGAAAAACACAGTATATACTTATGGATTAAGAAGCTGCAACAATCTACTACTGCCACAAGCGCCCAGTACGTGCTATGGCTTGGCTACGTGCTATTGTTTCTAGGGAGTAGATTGTGGCAGGCACTTCCCAATGACATGACACGATCAGATACCCTCTCCAGCTTTAAAATGAGAAGAAAATCTTGGAAAGAAGAGGAATGCAACTGTAGACTGTGTAGACCTTCGTGGCTCAGGTTGGGTTCTTGGAAGGATAAATGTTTTGTATTGTAAATGCAGAAAAAATGCTGTAAAAACATTGTAAAATCTGTATATATGTATTTATACTTGATTATTTCCTATGCTAGATATATGTGTATTTTTATTTTTTATTTTCAAAACAATTTGTAGTAGGCTTGAATTAGCTTTATTCTGTATGTATTTTTATACGCTTTTTTTATATAAATAGATAATAATCAGTCTTCTGTTACTTTTCAAATCAGTCTTCTGTTACTTTAGGAGGAAGAAGCATTGATTGAAGATTGGAAACCTGAGCCATTAGTTCCCAAAAAGAAGATATGTGATTATGTTGTTAATCCCAAGATTGTCAAAGGGTAAGATAATTGTCAAAAAGCATTTTAAAAAATGAGTAATGATGTGGAATATGTTAAATATATTTTTATTTTTTCCTTACTCACCCCCTTCTCCCAGTTAACAAGGTCAATTTATGAGACTTGTTTTTTTCAAAAAAATGCTTTTCTACAGTGCATTGTCAAGAACATTTGTATATCTTGAAATAATGCTACTAAGCAAACATGACATGCAATTGTATATTCATGTTTGAAGTCTTTTTCATTGTTAAAAGCATTTCTTT